TTGGTTTTCGTCTTTAATTGTATTGGATGGGTGATTTTAAGTAATTCACTATTTCAATTGGAGGTTATAGATTTCAAAAACTATCAAAATATTGTCTATAGTTGTATTTTTTATAGTAGGCTACCCAATGTGTTTCAGGAGCGTTTGAATTATCTAAATTAACAATACCACATCCTTGTGCTAATGGTTTCTTAGGTAAAGAATCATGCATAAAAACACCTCTGAAATGCTGTTAACCGTCGATTAGGTAGGTTGTTTAAAAGTCTTTTGGAGCTGGTCTGTAATAAAGTCCACATCCCTCTCTATAGGGTTTAAGTTATAAACCTCTCCCCATAGCAATTGATTCCATGTGTCTATTATGACGAGTAGCTTCTGCTAATTGTTCTCTTCCATTTTTTATACCATTTACTGCTTTAACTATAGCTGATCCACCTGTAGCCAAACCTCAAGTGCTGACAATGCTGTTAAGCTCTAAAGGAAGGAATCCCCCAAGTTTTGGCATTGGGATAACTCTCGGTATAGCAGCATTACCCTTGTTACTCATCCTTAATTTTGAATGTATTGCATTCTGAGGTATTTTTACCGCATCCGTGATATTATTTGGTCTTTATTTTTTCAAGATATTTAAAGTCTTTTTAACAGCGGTTAAAAATAGCTTTCTTCCACCGCATGTTCCTCCTTTTCTTCCTCTTCTATTTTTTCCCGCCTTTTTTCTCTTAACTTTTCTTACATATGTCGTCTTTTTCTTCCTGCTAGTCTTACTAGCACTCATACCGAGGCCAAATTTCACTTTTGCCTTTATTGCTTTCCAAGCGTTTATACGTTCTTTTAAATTACTATCTTTAGATTTTACTCGTTGCCAGGCTTTCTCTGTTAATATCTTATCAGCTTGATGTCTCTTATTAGCGTCTTCTGATTGTGAATATGCAATATCATGTTCTCTACAAGCTACATCCACCGGGTTTATTCCTAAACGTATTGCTAGTTTCGTTCCTGGACCACAAAGCTGATAGCCAGGTAAATGTATTTCAATAAGTGATGTATTTATTAGGTTGTGTACGCAACCTCGTGCAATCTTAGACTGATTGTATATGTCTCTTTTATTAGAGTTTATAACCATTTTTTTATCGTTTTATATACAATAGGATCAGCATCAAAAATCAAAATGATATATATTTGTATATACAAATGGTATTTATATATAAAAGCAAATTCGTTTATCATTATGCGTTTAGTTAAACAATCGAAACAAATCGTTGTTAAGAATGCTGACGATGTGTGTTTGCAGAAAGGAAAGACTAAAATTATACATAGTACTCTATTACCGAATTCAATACAATCGTTAATTATGGGACCATCAAATTGTGACAAGACAAATGTTATGATTAGCCTAATAGGAAGTCCTAATGGTCTCAGTTTTAAAAACATCTACATATATACAAAATCTTTATGTCAACCAAAATATCGTTATCTGCAGGCACTAATTGATCCGATAAAGGATATAAACTTATTTACATTTTCAGAAAATGAAAAAGTTATAAGCCTATATAAGGCAAAGCCACATTTAATAATGATATTCGATGATGTAATATGCGATAAACAAAATACTATAAGGAATTACTTTTGCTTGGGTAGACATAAACACATTGATTGCTTTTATTTATGTCAAACATATACGAGAATTCCTAAACATTTAATACGTGATAATGCAAATATGATAGCAATATTTAAACAAGATGAAATGAATGTGAGACATACATACAATGACCATGTTATCGGTGATATGTCATTTAAGAAATTTTTAACGATTTGTAGTAAGTGCTTGAAAGATAAATATAACTTTGTTGTTGCGAGCAAGGATTATCCAATTGATAACAGGCGATATCGGAAAAGTTTCGATAATTTCGTACTGTTTACTTTGAATAAACATATTCTATCTTACTCGTAATTTGTTTAGATGTATTTGTTTAATTTAAATACACTTGCATTTGCGCAGTCACTTTGTGTGTTTGTCTGTTTGGTATAACTGACCTCAGAGAATAATATCGTTTTGTTACATAATCCACACCTTGAAGTGTGTCGTCTTTGTTCATATTAATTTGCTTATATTGCATTTTTGTGGCACAATTTAAGCTGTTCATATTTCTGGAAGTAAATGAACGCAAAAATGCAAGTGCATCATTTTATGATTTATATTATATCATAAAAATTCTGAGTTAGTTTATGAGAATGGTAATTTATAATCTACTTTTTTAACAATAAAATTCGTCTTTGTGTAACAAATCGATCACTTCCCCTTGGTATTTATTCATAGCGGTTTCTTCCAGTTACAAATGCTGGAAAAACCAAATAAAAAGGAGTGGTACAACCAGATGTAACATTTGGTCGGCTCCTACCGACTAAGTTAGGCTCCAAAACCATTTTGTTGTTTAAATATACCGTATAATACGGTTTCATCCCTATTTGTTTGTTAGTGTCCACGTCGGACACGCTAATAGATAAAGTCAAAGGCACAACCAACAAAAAATTTTGACTAAACACATACCGTTCAGTTAGTTAGATTAGATATAAAGCTGATCATTATTGGATATAGAGCAGATTACAAATGAGTAACGAATTGTTAAAAGATATTATAAAGACACGAGAAGTGTTGAAAGCGAAGCTAAGAAGTATTAAATTGAATCAAATAGAGAAGGTTAACTTATTGGAAGACACATTTCAGTCTATAACGCAGCCTTTGAAACGGATAATTAAAAAACTTGATAATAAAAATTCGACACCGCTGACGTCATCATTAACGAATGATTCGATAGAAAATCATAACAATGGCGGTGATGAAGGTGACGACGACGATGATGTAAATAATATTGATTATAATGATGTTGAGGTTGAGGCAGATAACGATGTTGCGATGGGTAATAATGATATTGAAATGCCTACATATAATTCATTATTAAATTATAGATATAAACCAAACGGAGTAAAAAGAAGAAAAACTAAAACAAATTTATTGAAGCATGGAAAGAGTAGAAGTAGTGCAAAAACTAAAAAGAATTTATTAAAGTATGGAAAGAGATACCCGTCTAACCGCAACTGCGCCTACAAATGTAGTTCATGATACAAAAGATTTTCCATATGTTGATTACGTAGGTAATCAAGACGAAGGAGGAGTTGATTTTCATAATGCAGAAGAAGACATGAATATTGATGAAACGTCTTTGGAAACATCATCATTATCATCAGGGAATACACCACTATTAAACAACAACAACAACAGCAAGAATAAGAAAAGGTTTAGAATTAAAAAGAGTTTAAAGCGGAACATCGACAAGAAAGGCCTTAAAGTAGAGAAGAGTTTAAAAGGGTTGAGTCATTTAAAAAGAGAAAAGAAAGGAAATTCGTTTCAAAGAAGGAAAGCTACAACAACAACAACAGCAACAACACCAACACCAATTACAATTAAACAAAAAAAAAGATGTTAAAACGAAAGAATTCTACGCCACTAGATGGTTTTGATAATAATAACGGCTGAAAACGTCACACATATCTTTCAATCAGAAACGAAAGAGTAAATCACAATTGAATACTGATAAAAAATGGAATAAAAATGTGAATAATAGCAATGATGCTAACATTAATTCAAATAAAAATCCACTCTATAGTGTTATATGAACACTTATTAATAATGAAAAGGTAGATAAAATTTATGGTTTTACTGTAGATGTAAAGGGAAATTGGCGATATGGAAATAATAAATTAAAATTTAATAGAGATAACACTATCAATTTAGGAAATATTAAGTGGGCTATGACGCCAGGTCTGTTCTAGCTCATGTTTCACTCAAAGCCTCAGCATTATACAAAAAGAGATTTGATAAAATATAAAGATATTCAAATAAATACAAATGTATACAAACGTCATTATTAACCAGACGCGCAAATTAAAGGTACAAAAGCATTTAAATATCAACGTCTAATAAGGCCATTATTTAATAAGAAATCAAATCTTCTAATTAATGGTAGTGGACTATCATTAAAATCATTAGACACTCGCAAACCTATCTAACCTATTGGGACGATCCTAACGAGCTAGTTGATAGATTACGCTTACTTCTTTCTTCCGAAAGTGCTGGACACAATAATCACAGAAACGAAATAATCTCAATTAACTGATAATAATTATGACTTCTATATATAAGTTTGAAGAAGGTTAATTAATCATCATTAGTATAACAATTCAAAGTTAAAGATAAATTTATTGAAAACGCTTGGCATTAGTATAAATAGTAATCGCACAGATCTTCATAAGAAAAGACTTTGTAATTTAATTACACCTACAGACCCCAATGATGCTGTAACGAAAGCATAACTGCTAAGAAAAAATGATGTGTAAACAGATAGTGTAAACAATCTAATAACTACTACATATGAAATAGTTTCAAAACTCATATGATTTACAAATACATAGTATGAAAAACAAATAGATGAATTATACACGACAATCAAAAATGATATTAATAGCGACGCTAAACAAATTGAGATAACTCTTAAGAATCAACTAATTAATGCAAATAAAAGCTATATAAATAAAATTGAGGAGCGATTCGATAAAATTGAAGAACATATTTTCAAATGGATTGGAGTGGAATAACTGCAAAAAAATATGATAAACAATTGAATAGTATGAGATGTGATTTAACAAAACTACGAACTACCCTAACAAGCAACGTTGAAGAAGATGTTAAATTAATTGAACAGACTGTTAAAGCGTATTTGTATAATGAGAATAAGAAATTTATAAATAAGACTGAAGAACGATTTCAAATAATTGAGGACTGCTTTTTCAAATCGATTCGTTTAAAGGAACGACAACAACAAGACAAGGATGTAGAAAAAAGGAAAACTTACTAAAAGAAGTAATATAAAAATTTTTTTATATAAAAAACAACAACAAGACGAGCAAACAAACAAAAATACATTAATTCGCATGGAGTTTGCATGATGGATCTAAACAAAGATAAAAGAGATATAGTTAATGAACTACACAAACAAGCACGTAAACATTTCAGAAGAAGACGAGTTGTCATCAAAGGAATTGATGATTTGTGGCAAGCAGGTCTCGTTGAAATGATAAGCTATACAGTACAAAATAACGGTTATCGTTGTCTTTTAACAGTAATGGCTACATTTTCGAAAAAGGCTTGGGCTATGGCGGTGAAAAACAAAACTGCTCAAAACGTAACGAATGCTATGAAGAGAATTTTTGAGAAAAGTCATGGCAAACCGAAAAATATGCATACTGATGATGGTAAAGAGTTTTTCAATAATCAATTTCATCAATTGATGCAAAACAATCATATTAATCACTATTCAACATATAGCGTTCTGAACGCGTCCATAGTAGAACGATTTAGTAGAACATTAAAAGGAATGATGTGGAAAGAGTTTATTTTTCAAGGAACCTATAAATGGGCTCATTCATATAAGAACCTTGTCGATAAATAAAATAACACATATCACAAAACGATAAAAATGACACCAAATCAAGTGAATTCTTCAAATGAGAAATCTCAGCTGGATATGGTATACAGCAATTTAAAAATATTCAAAAGACTAAAGTTCAAAATAAACGATTATGTACGAATGAGTATATATAAACATCAATTTGAGAAGGGCTACACACCCAATTGGACTACGGAGATCTTTAGAGTGAAAACTATAAAAAATACAAATCCAAATACATATTTGCTAGAAGACTATCAGGGGCGTGAAGTTAAAGGTGGATTTTATGAATATGAATTAATGAAAACTACATTTTCCCACATGTATTTGTTTGAAAAAGTTGTAAAGAGAAGAGGAAATATGGTCTATGTTAAATGGTTAGGATTTTCTTCGGAGCACAGCTCTTGGATTAATATAAACAATATGTCTTCATAATAAAAGCTATCATAGACATTCTTAGATAATTTATTCACTCATCAGACGGTAAGATGTCAATACACTAACCTTAAATGGGAACTCCTCGTTACTTATTGCAAAATATCTTCCCGCAATTGAGCTTGATGAAAATTATATTTGCGGACTAATAAGTTTCGGTACATATCATTCATTTCCAAATGTCGATCGGGAAAATAACTTATTTCATATTGGTAACCATCAAATCACAATTCCTATTGGTTCATATGAGTTTTCTGATATAGCCGATTTAATTATAAGTAAATATCATGATGTTAATGAGAAAGGGGGTATACTCAATATTCAAGCCAATTATAATACCTTACAAACACGTATAAAGAGTACAATAGATCCAATTTACTTCGATAAGAAGCGTTCGATTGGATCATTATTGGGGTTTAGTAAGAGAAAATTACAACAAGGTATAGAACACTATTCAGATAAAACAACCGATATAACGAATGTAATGTAATGTAATTGAATGTAATATTGTAAGTGGATCTTATATAAACAATGTATCAGCGCATAATCTTCATCCGTTCTCATTTACTGTTAGTCCAGGTTATAAAATTGTAGAGATACCGACTAATGTAATATATTTACCTATAAATACAAGAACGATAAATTCTATTGTTTTGAAAGTTGTCGATCAATCTGGTAATTTAATAAATTTTTGGTGGAGAAAAAATTTTTAATGTTTTCTCTTTTGCAGATATGCATTATCAATTTTAAATAGAAGAGAAGAGAAGCAACGTGATCAAAATAAAAATATATAACAAAACCATATATTTTTATACAGACAACGAAAGTGAACTTTATTGAATATTATATATTGAAATAAACTTAAAATGAATGAGAATTATATTCAAAAAAGAAAAATTTTCTTTTTAGCACACATGATTAATAACACACAAGAATATTTATACAAGTTCTCACACAAATACATACATTGCAAGATAATTAAGCGAAACAGCGTAAGATTTTTAATTATGAAGATTTATTTGGAAGAGTCTTTATAAATAACTATAGGGTAGTGTTAGGCATTTAATGGTGAGAGAGAATATTTTTGTACAAGTTCTAGGTCTTTTTGCGGCTAAAAAATAAATATAGGTCATCCATTAATAGTGTTAAGATAGATCAGTAAATCAATTGAAAAACAAAGCACAAGTAAAACCACAAAAAATTTTCACAGTACAAAAAATGTGTCATAATGCACAATGCACAGCACAATTAACGACATAGCAGGGTAGGGTATACTTCGTTTCTAACATAGGTTTACAACAACATCACAACAACATCCTCGAACATGAACATCCATCTCGAACCCCCGGGTTCAGAAAAACTCTCACGAATGCCATTCGGGTCACATTTGGACGCCTTCGGGTGGGCGCAAACATCAAAAAAGGCGTGATTCAGACCTTCGGCTAGGATGAACCACACCTTTTTTTATCCCAATATTAAAAAAAAGGCGTGCCTCTTCCCATAAAAAAACATGAGTCATGCCATAAAAACATTGAAAACAATTGTCATTATCCTCAGCAGTTCTCAAACCTTTTCAAATGAGTGATTATTTCACAATTTAATAAATAATAGACAACCATAAGGCATAATGGCCCCGGGGCCGCAAGATAAAAACTCAAATGGATTTCATCTATTAGCGGACGTATCCCCCCAAAGAAAACGAATTAAAAATTCGGTCTTTCCGGTGCTGCCAATTAGTGATATCACTCCTATTATTAAAAAATATGTTGTGATTTCTCCAACTGATCCTTCCATAACAATTTCGCAAATCAGCCCTTTTGCTATTAAAAAAGCACTAGATAGCATTACAACGTATATAGACTCTATATCGATTCTACGCGATGGGAATTTACTTGTCCTCGTTGGGAGCTAGCGCGCAACCGAAAAGCTCAGAAAATCGAAATCATTAGCTAGTTTATGCGCTATATTCGCTAAAGTGCATGACAAACTAAACTCGTTTGAAGGCGTAATTTATGCCCCATGCTTAAATCATGTGCCGGAAGATGATGTTGTACGCGAAATGGGCAGTCAAGTAGTGACTGAACTCTATAAATTGACTAAATGAAATGAGAATGGAAAAAACCGCTCTCCTACAGGAAAAATTATATTGACTTCCTGCCGCTATCGGCTACTGCCAACCGTTGATGTAGCTTCGTACAAATGTAAAGTAAAACTCTACATTTCAAATCCTATGAAGTGTAATAACTGCCAACGCCTTGGTCAAACGGTAGAAAATGCACCAGTGCTCCATCTTGTGCTAACTGTGGACTTCCTCCACATGCTGAAAACTGTACGCGTAGCTTCTGCTTAAGTTGCAACGATCAACACTCCGCGTTAGACAAACAATGCCCACGTTTTATACATATGCGTGTAATTCTAAAAATCAAAACAGAAAATTACTGTAGCATGGGCGAAGCGCGCCGCAAGTACCGGGAAATTAATCCATCTGGAACCCAGAGAATTCGCAAAAGCAATACCTACGCTGTTGTCGCCTCGCAAATCGAGCCTAATAAGCCTTTCACTCCAACTCCTTCTAACGAAAAATCTCTTCTACCATCAACCAAATATAATATTGCTAAACCAGTTCCCGCTAATAATATTAATGAAAAAATCAAAACAACAGCAATTATTGAAAAAATTAAAACAACAACACATATGCCAAAATCTAATAAACTAATTCCCCCAGAATCACCAGTTCTCAACTCTGCTCAACATATTACAAGCTGTAATGAATTCAATCTTTCATCCCTCAATCAACTGTCAATTTCAAATTATTCCCGTGTGCCCACTCGTTGCACTTCATATATAGGCAACCACCTTAGTACAGATTATTCTGCTGGTAAGAACAAATTATTCACGCAAAATTCTTATAGGGACATTTTCGACGGAGACGATGACATGAAAACTAAACCTACTTTCCACTCCATGTCACTAAAATTAAATAGAGTTTTTAAAATTCTACAATGGAACATTAAGGTACTTCTTGATAATTTTGATGAACTCCGTTCACTCGTAAGTGATTTCAATCCAACCTTTATATCGCATCAAGAAATCCATTGTAGAACCTCTTTTAATCCTATTCCACCCAAATCATATGCTAGATCACGAATGCTAATCAAAATTTATATTCCAAACATAGAGTTGGTGTTTTCATAAATTAAAGTACACCTCACAAACGCATAAATTTAAGCTTAAACATACAAGCGATACAAAAATCGTAAATATAAAATTTACAGTGCTTTGGCTCTATATCCCACCTTCGCAATCGTGTTCTCAACAAGAACTCTACAATTTATTCTCTGTACTTTCCCCCCCCATTAATTATATGCGGTGACTTTAACAGCTGGAATACCATCTGAGGCTCAACAGTGAACAACATTCGTGGCACTGTTTTAGAAAAGGCCTTCATTCAAAGCAATCTCTGCATTCTCTCTCTTACATTGATTTAACATGTTGCTCTCCGTTTCTTCTTTCTTTGGTTTTCTGGTCTATTTCTGATGATCTACATAATAGTGATCACTTTCCAATCATAATCGATCTTAAACTTTCAACGTCCTCTGCTACTCCAGCAAAATAACAAAATTTCTCCTAGATAGAGCGGATTGGATACACTACTCCAAACAGGTGCAGTCATATTTGAATTCAAAGTCATTTAACGGGAACTGCAACCATGATACTGCTATTATGTCTAAAGCGATTCGCACGGCTGCTCACCTTTCTATTCCTCAATCCAACATCTCTTTTAAACCAGCTAGGGTTCCTTGGTGGAACAACACGCTTTCGTTTTTGAGAAAAAATAAAATGAATCTATGGCACCGCTTTAAGAGATGTCCTGATCATGATCTTTTGTTATTATACAAAAAGGCCAATGCCCTATTCAGGAAGGATCTACGAAAATCAAAGGCACTTAGTTTCGAACTTGTTTCGAGAGGAATTCACAGACATACATCAATCAAAGTTGTCTAGAATAAAATCAACAGACTCAATGGGACCTCAAATCTGAACGAAATCTCTGCCATCTGCAATCCCAATGGAAATTTAACTGATGCAGATGAGATTTCTAATTACTTTGGACAAATATGGTGCGAATACTCCTCTGACAGCAACTTCTCCAGTACTTTCATCGAAAATAAAAGGACTCCCAAATTGTATTGACAGATGTGCCACCTTCCTGGAAAATTACATATTTACCTTAGAACTTGAAAGTTTTCTCTCCAAATCGAAGGAGAGGACACCTGGTCTAGACCGCATTTCCTACCAAATCATCAGTGCGCTGTCTAATTCAAGTAAAAAGAAATTACTGGACCTATATAATACGGTATTTTTACCTAGCCATATACCCTACATATGGAACCTGGCAGCAGTTGTTCCAATTTCAAAGTCAAAAAATGTCTTCATCGCATCGGACTATCGCCCAATCTCTCTTTTATCTGGCCTCTCAAAGGTATTGGAAAAGATTATGGGATCTGGATTATCTTGGTTTCTTGAGTCCAAGAATCTGATAACAAAGCAACAAGTTCATTTCAAGCGGTGAAGAGGATGCATCGACGCTCTGTTACATATTGATTATTTTACAAGTAAGGCAATTTCCGAACGAAATCATGTAACAATTCTCTTAATTGATTTCGAAAAAGCATTTGACAGAGTTCGTCTTCATTTTATTTTAGGACTCTTGAAATCATGGAATGTGGGACCCTAATTTTTCAATTACATCAAATCATTCATGTCGCATCGGCCGTTTAAAGTTAGAATCAACAATCATGTCTCTGATTCCTTTCCGCTAATGAATGGAATTCCGCAAGGATCTCCTCTTTCTGTGACGCTTTTACAAATCGCCTCCAACGAAATTAGTAAAATTTTTTGCCGTGTAGCGAGAATCGAACATTGTCTCTACGCGTACTATGTATACATTTTAACAGAAGAAAAAGATAGCACGAAGGCAATCGACATCTTGAAACCTATTGGACGAGAGATCTCCACATGGGCAAACTCATCAGGCGCTAAAATTTTTATACAAAAATAAAAAAAAATGCATATATGTCGAAAGCAGATATGCGATGCAGGAAATCTACTGATGCATTACCAGTACTAAACGTGCAGACGCTGCATATGCTCTTGCTCACTTTTTCCAACAAACATCGTTGGAAAGCACACTGTCTTCGGTTAAAAAATTCTATTTTAACAAGGGTGAATTACATACAGTACGTTGATTGGAGAAGCCATGCCCATATTAACACTATTGCGTATCTTACCAAAATGCGTGTGTTAAGCAAGATTGACTATGCTTTGATAATTTGTGGCAATAGCTGCAAATCTAATATCAACATCCTTAAATCGGTCTACCACCAAGCCGTCAGAGCAAGTTGTTATGCTTTTCGAACGACGCCCATAAATAATATTATAATTGAAACTGGTCTCCCAACTTTAGAAAATAGACTGTATGAGTTAAAAGCTAAAATAGTCCCTAAGCTTCTTAATTCAAACAAATCCATTCTCGGTGATGACGTAAGAAAGATTATTATTGCGAAGAAAATTCGAAAGTGACCATCTGCAATTGACTATTGTTTGTACGTCGCAGTAGAATGGAATATTCCCTTAAAAATTTCCCGCTCTTTTGGTGTTAAACCCCCATGGATTTTGAAAGACTGCTCTTTTCACATCTTGCTGTCTAAGCACAAGAAGGAAGACACTCCAAGTTACGTCTTCAGGAATCTAATAGCAGAAAAAACCCAAGTATTGGAGTGTACTGGTTGAAATCTTTTATACACAGACGGCTCAAAATCTCCTGGTCTGCCTCCTGCTTGTGCTACAGGACAGATTCTTCTCAATCACATTCTTCACGAAAGTACTTCAACGTTCAGATTCGAAGCCAGAGCTATCCTTCACGCTGCGAACCTTGCCCATAAAAGCAAACTCAAAACCGTCATTGTCTGTATTACAACCTATTCGGAACGCTTCGACTTCGAAATGGAGCACCATCAACAAATTAAGGAAGGTAATTACAACACCTAATGGAAAAATTAAAATGCTATGAGTACCAAGTCACATCCGTTTATCGGGAAATGAGCAGGCTGATCGAGCGGCAAAGTATGCCGCTTCTTCTCCTCTAATTTTGAATAATGTCATGGAAAAGCTGGATCTTCAAAGATACATTGGAAGAAAAGTTAAAGAGAAAATTGCAGAAGGAAATTTACAACACTATCATCAACACTACTCTTCCATTAACCCTTAATTAATTCCACCTTTATATCCAACAAATGTTTAGAAAACCAAGATTGAAACATTTTCGAGAATACGCCTTGGTCATGAAATCTGCAGTTGTGGACAAACTCTCACTATAACGCACATCCTCTGCGACTGCCTTAACTTTTCCTTGGCTAGAAGAATTGCATTTGGAACAATTAACCCTTTGGACATTCTAAAATCAGCTTTAGAACAGAACATCAATTCGATATATTACTCTATTAATACTACTAAACTCAATATCTAATGTACATTTATTTAAATTAGAGCCAACAGCCTGTGTTGCTAGTGCTCAATGTCTCTTTTTTTAGTCTAAGAATTTATTTCATTAGTCTAAACTTTTAATAATAATAATAATATTTGCAACTTGTTTATTTATTTCACAACCAAGTAGTAGAAACAGAATGAGAATGGTTACGGTAGTATTATTGAGTTATTAATAAAATGAAAATAACTTAATATAAATAAATGCTTATGCTAGTGTTACTACTACAGCGTTTAAAATAACGTGAATATGATTATCATTTGCAAAGGCAGAACAAAAAATCAAATATAAACTTGGGTTCTAAACAAATTCTTGCGTAGCACTTGTAGGAATGGATAGTAAATCAGAAATCTCATTTAAAACAGGAACGCAGAAATATTTTTTTGGACAAAAAGCTTTGGATTAACTTGAACATCAGACTGCGATGCCAAATAGCGTCTTTAACGTCAAATTAAATTACAAGAACCCAAATCTCTTAAGGTATCCATATTCAAATCTGATTCTTTATAAACAACTGGTTATGTAACCTACAATACGAATGATAAATAATAAATAACCCTTATGGTCTCACAAAAAATAAATACCTGAGGAAGAACAAAGCTAAATATTCAACGAACTTCATGCCGTTCCATTTTTCTCAATATCACTTGACAGCGTTCTCACTATGTACATAGGTAACCTCTGAAATGAATACAGAGCCATTAAATATCATTTCACAATTAAAGCTAAACAAACATTTACCATTGTCATCAAGGCATCGTGGATCCAATAATTCATACTTCAAAAGCACATAGTTGTACCAAAACATATACTACAATATTGCGTATTCTTAACTAGTATCCCTGCTCTCACTAGGGGCACCATTCATGGGTGGATAGCATGATATAAAGTTAAATTCGAAGAATTAGTATCAAAACCACTAAGTAACTATCTCATAAATCAAATAAGCAATGCTCTAATATGCAACAAAGAAAGATGAAGAAAGAAGACTTTTAAACTCAATAAACTTTGGCCACACAAAGGAGACGTTGCAAGCGTCTTTGCCGAATTTCACGAAATTTTCACTTAAATGGAGAAATTATGACGAACTAAAGTAATTAATAAACGAAAATATAGTAGAACCATCAGTAAGTCCATACAACCCACCATTATTAATAGTACTAAAAGAGAATAGATAATACAAAAAATATAAAGTTTCACAAAATGAAATCACAAATTAGTCAATAGAAAATTCCTGTTAACAAGAGTAGCAAGATTTTTTCAACATGCGGCATGACCAGTTCATTCCGTCAAATAGAGTATGTCGTCCATTGACAACATGTCTTACAGGGTAGTCTTGTATACGTTAAAAAAGATGGTCGTTTTTTTCTTTGGTCCGTTTATATTTTGCACTAATATCAGTCAAAATTAATAGTTTTCATGAACATAGCAGCATAACCAATTACTAAGATCATAATAAAATCACAAAGTTTCCAATAAAATACACCAGAATGGGTGAAGTAAAAATTAGTAAACAAGACCGAAAAATTAACTGTTTTGTGTGAAGGAAATATTTTCTTTAATAACAAATATTACAAACAAATGCACTCTACAATAATGGGTCCTCTACGGTAAAATTTTACTGGAAGGCAAAAACTGTTAACATGATAAATGACTGATCGAGGCCAAGAAAATAACACCTCCAAAAACCACCACAAGCAAACGAAGCAGAAACAAGAAATACATAACAAATCATTAAGTAGACTATCCAAATAAATAAACAAATACCAACAATAGCAGAAACATCAACACAACATAAACATAAGCAATAACAGAAACGAAAATACAACAATACCCAAGACAAAACAAAATCAATAGGCCAATACCATAAAAAAACAGCATCAACAAAAAGGCAACGATAAAAAGAAAACAACAACACAACGCAGTCGTACAACGCAGCAAACAAAATTACCGTAGTACAACAATAACAGCAACATCAACATAAAAAATACATACTTTTATGTTTCCGCCAAAACCCCAACAACAAAACTGCCTCATTTCGTCTCCAGACCACATCGATCACCGTCGGCACTGTCAGTATTTTGGGGAGTGATACCAGATGGTGAGTGCTCGATTGATAGAGGCATAACACTCCCGACTCCCTTCGACTGGAATTATCAGATATGCAAATTCTGACCTATAAAGCTGCTCTCTGTTAGATCCAGGTAAGTGAAAATAGTGATAGCGAGATTTCCACTTACTCAGATACCAAATCATTCACAATTTCGTATACACAGAGGCCTTCTGATATATATGCGCAACGACATAGTGTTCCAGTGTCAGCAACAATACAGCACTCAGGACCCTGATATAACCTTGTTACGGGTGAAATTAACTATCCAAACATACACGTTCTATTTCTGATTTGTTTATAAAAACCCAAACGCATAATGGCTTTGGCAACCTATCCAACTCAATATTGTTTATTCTTCAAAATTACTCCGACAGCGGAAACGTGGCTGCTGGCGACTTCAATGTCCACAATGAAAACTGGCTGCGTCATTCGGTCCATACAATTCTCCATACATCTATTCCGGTTTTTTCCAATAATGACCAAATAATCTTCAACCCGACTGATAACAATAATGCGTTGGCTGAAATGTTTGCTCCAACTTACCGCGTAGCAATCAACTACCATCACCTCTTGAAAATGCAAAGTGTTCTATGCCCGCATTATTCTATTGAAAGACCCTTATCGAACTCAACACTAGCAAAGGCCCGGGGTCAGATGTCATTCCAGCAGCAGTTCAAAAAAAGTTCGCGGAAACAATTTCCAGGCCATTGCGCAGTCTTTTCAGCAAGTGTTCCCATGCCGGCTTTTTTCCAACTTGCTGGAAGCTTGCCCATGCTTGAGCCCGTATCCAAGAAGAGGGACCCCACAAATCCTAGAAATTGTCATCAAATTGCAGTCTGTTCCGCTACAGTCAACACAACGGAGACCATGGTCAATTACCATCAAACGAGATATTTGGGATGCAACGATTTAATTAGCGACAGGCAATATGGCTTCTGCACAAATTGGTTCACTGGTGACCTAATATCCTACTTCACGGAAAAGTGGACACAGGTGAATCGCCATTTTGGCGAAAGTAAAGTCATTGCCTTGTCTCCGAACTGATTGCATACGGTGTTGACAGACTATTCGTTCGATTACATCGAGTTTTAAGGACAACCGTTCGATAAGAGCTGTCTTCAAATGAATTGTGTTTAAATTCACGTGTACCACAAAGTTCAGTTTTTCCTTTTCCTTTTCCTTTTCCTGGTGTTCGTTAACGAACTTCCCTACATAACGGAGAACCCTATCTATTCGTTTACAGATGGTAGCACCTAGTGTCATTCGTTTTCCTTTAGTAAGAGGTCGTGCAGCACAACAAATGCTGCACGATAAATGACACGTTAAGTCGCGTACCCGTGAAAATATTAGAATGGCGTCTGATTAACCGGACTACACGTCTTTCTCAGCGTTCTCACCCACTCGTCCTGAAGTTATCTGAATATCGCACAACACACTACACCGACTCATGGTTTTTTAACCGTAGTGCCCAACTTTGAAACGACCTACCACCTTTGGAACGATCTACCAGCGGCGAACTTGATGTCACCATTGTCAAGTCGACCGTTCACAAATGCTACTTTCTTCCTTCAAAAAACTTTTTCGTCAATCCTTCGTGATCATCAGCACGCCCGCACGGATAGTATGCATTCCCCGAGTGGGCGATCATAGGAAAAAAAATGTTTTACCGAGAAAAAGCATTACTGATTTAAAAAATTGTCTTTATGCTATGAAAATGAATCAATGGTATTTTACTCAACTTAAAATTGTCCACTTGCCTCATTTCATAACAAAAAACGATACAAAAGCAAATCCATCAAAACATAAACGTCAAATAATGGTTGATTGTTTAGTCTCAAACTTTCGTTTAACAAACCACATTTATGGTGTTCTGGCGCCGTTAATTCATTGTTAATCAAAAACAGCGACGCAACAAACACAATAATAAAAATATACGGTAACATAGACGTAGCCAACCGACTTATTTCAGTTTCTACGAAATTGTTTCTAATAATTTGCTTTTAGTACCCCTTTTAGAAGCTACTTTAGCCAAATTCTATGTATTTTGTGGCATTATGGAGTTTGTTGCATGAATTGGATACAGGTGAAATATTCGGATCCCTTCATGAGGGAAGCGCCTTCGTTTAAAACCATGGTTTCGATGTCATCCAAGAGCGGAGATTTTCTGATAAAAGATTGAAATGTAACTTATTATTATTATTATTATCATTAATTTCGCCAGAGAAATAAATTCTAAGACTAAACTCTTAAAAGCACTAGCATCAAAGGCTATCGGCTTTTATTAAAAACTCTACCGCACTTGAGATTCGAACCCACGACCATTGACTTGCTAGTCGAGATTCCTCGCCTTCAGCCACTCAGGCGGATGAAATGTAACTTATTTAAACTAATTTAACTTATAACTTTAAATTATTGTAAATCAGAAGTAAGTATTGGTATATTAGTTAACACTAAATCCAAAATTCTAAAGACTAAATCCCAATTTGATATTGAGCAAACCTGAAGATTTAAGAATTACCAGAAAAATAAATCCTAACGAACCGAAGATATCCATTAGCATTAGTAATATCTTCACCGATGTTTTAAATTACATCAGTTCTTAATCATGGAATTTCATGGATTGCAAGTTTTTCACGCGGCTAATTCGTCCTGTCATGCCTTACAAAAGCATAATTTGGATGATGTAGTTTGTCGGAGAACTTTAGTCAAAGTTTCAGAACACGAACATATATCGATAATACAGAATGAGACATTTTAAGCGGCTGTTATAAAAAATTAAATAGTAATATTTAGTAAGTGACTGCGTTATAGCGTTAAGTCCCTCTTATTTAGTAGCAAATATCTTAAGATTATTAAGAGGAACAAAAGCTAATTGAGTGAATTTGCTTATAGTTTCCACGATTGATGACCTGGAATAATGTTCCCATATTCTGGCGTAAAGTATTAAAACACATTATCCCATTTTCAAAATAAACTCTACAAGCATTGTACGCCCATAGTTGCACTTTTTAACAATTTTCTTGACGTCCTCGCCCTTAGAGTTGAACACAATGAGTTCCATTTTAAATTCTTGCGCTTGTAAAATACTTGCGCTTCGTCACTTTCAATATGTTAAATACTCTAAAAATTATCCAACATTTTTTTTATAAGCATTTAAATTGCTGTTCTATCATTGAAATTTGCGATCGAGCTTTCGGGCAAACACGATGACACCGCAATATGAAATAAAAAGTTTGTTTGCCGTTATAAATTAGAAAACAAGACTCTCGCAAAATCTCATACATCTCTCAAACATAAAACATGCGTCCCAAGTTAGCTAACTAAGCCATTTTAGATTTTAACATGTAAACACTAAGAATATTTCTAGAAACAAAACAAAATTTATTAATAAGCTTAGCAACCAAAAAAGAATTCGTGAAAAGTTAAAAACAGGAAGAGCAATCTAGTGATTGCAAAAATTTTTATCAACGAATTCTGCAGATAAAAATGATAAAGAAATAGGAAATATTGGTATACATAACGATTAAATTCGATGAATTTGAACTTTCTCTACACGAAATAATATTTTTCTATTTTTTATTATTATTATTAATTTCGCCAGAGAAATAAATTTTAAGACTAAACTCTTAAAAGCACTAGCATCTAAGACTATCGGCTTTTATTAAAAACTCTACCGCACTTGAGATTCGAACCCACGACCATTGACTTGCTAGTCGAGATACCTCGCCTTCGGCTACTCAGGCGGATATTTTTCCATTTAAAATTATTGCTTTGTTCAGCGTACGCCGACTCCAATCATGGGACGCTTAAAGGTGCATTTTCAAGCTTCATTACTTTTTTTGTTTATTTTGAGAAAATCTTCTGCCGAAGCTCACCGAAAACGTTCAGAAAGTTGGGGGTATGCACATCATCATATTTCAATCGTCGGTTTTGATTTCAATGATTTAAAGGTGATGATTTTGATTTCAATGACAAGAAAGGACTTGAAATAACCAAGGAAGATCGGCAATAATGAATTGCAAGCCAAATTGTACGAAACCCCAGCTCAAACTCCCAAAAAAACTTTCAGACAGCTGAACAGTTGATGAATCAACTATTTTTAGACTTTTTTGTGCGACAAAGATCCAAAAGGACGGAAAATTTCTACCATACGAACAATTTCAACATTACGGTTTTATTGCTTGACAGACAAAAAAAGAAGACTTTTGTTTGGCATATTGTGACTGGCTATGAAAAGTAGATCTACTACGACAATCCCAAGCGTAAACATTCATCAGTTTGCCGAGAAGAGCCGTCCACATCGACACCAAAGCTAAATATTCATGGCCATAACGTTTTGCTGCGCTTATGATGGGATTAGCAAGACGTAATTTGCTACAAGCGCCTAAAACCGATTGGTGCTGTTACTGCTATATATGACTATTGAGCAAATTGAACGATGTCAAGGCTAAAATGGTTATCATACGAAATGATTGAAAGTGGCATTTTGACCACTTGTTGTAAATGTTATGAAGAATGCACAGTTTCACCTCGAACGGAATGTTTTGCTGTACCCAGCGTACTCACCAGACATGGTGTGTTCTGATTACTACTTATTCATGTCGATGAAGCATGGTTTGTCTGACACCGCAAAGTTGCAAAAGAGCGAAAATGTGTCGACGATTGAATCGCTGCCAAGCTAATATCGTTCTTTCAGCACGATATCGACATGCTGCCGCAAAGGTGAGAGAAAGTTAGAAAAATTATGGAAAATATTTTGTTAATATTCATCCTAACAATTTTTCTCAATGAATGGTTTTTCCAAGTGAAAAAATGTTAGAAACTTTTGCAAGCGTCTAATTAATTAACTAAAAGGTACCAAAATAGGTAATATATTATTGACCTACGAAGTTATGTATTCAGTTATCCGAGGAACAGCAATGACAATAAATATTAATAAAGTAACATTAGTTAGAAGTATAAAGTGTGTAATTATGAAAGCCGGTATTAGAGAGGGAGGTAAATATGGTAGACGGTTGAAGGAAATTACAGCACAATGGGAGACACGTTTGGGAAGAGTAAAAGGCATGGACAATGAGAAACAAAGATGAAGTTAAATGAAAACAAAAGAATGCGATATAAATATAGCAGACGGTTCAAGGAAACATTTCTCCACAACACAGGAAGCGTTGGAGGACTAGAACACAAAGACATCAAGAAAAGCTGGTGAAAGCAGGCGTAACCGCTAAGTGCGCAGATTTTAAAAACGGTGTTACCCAGCGAGACAGTCAAGTAAATGGACAATACGAAGTACGCTTAAATCAAAAACGTTTGCCCAAATTGAAATTTATTGATCAACATGAAACTTTTAATAAGAAAGCCAGATAGGCATATACACGAGCTTCAGCTAATCCTGAAAATTTTTTGCAATCCATGAATACATTTTATAATAACATATGCCAATTGTTTATAAAGGGGTGACATCCACACCAAGTCGCAAAACGTGTGTCAACGCAATAAAAATCCCATACTTATGTGCTGAATTGTGAAGTAAACAAAACCTAACCTTATGTTTTCGATGCACGAAGCATGTCATGACCAACAAAGATTAACCTCCGTTAAAGGCATATTACAATGAGTCTAAACCTGGAGCAATTGCTGAAGTCATTGGTGTGTTCTTTCAAACAGAACAATGCAAGAGTCTA